TGCTATAATTCTGCAATGATGCATTTGAATTTTTAGGATTCATAAATAGAACATTCTATTTAAGAGAACTCTCTTGCTGTTATCTAAGATGTGAGAAGGGAGGGCAGTGTTCTCTGTGCTGTTCAAATTAAAAGAGTTCTTACATTTCTTTTTTCAAAGAGAAGGAAGTGGGGTGGCAGGAACTATTCATTTAGTTATTGGGTATCTCAAATGAAAATAACTTATATTTTCAATTTTTTCCATCTATTTCTTTCTATGCTGTATTTCCTTTCTAAATTTTATCATTTTGTTCAAGAATCAAAAGCCTTTTAAGTTTTTTAGGGATTCTCAAACATCATTTTAGTCCACATGCTTCATTTACAGGTTGTTTTGCCCAAGACTGAATTGGCAGTTGGGGACATATAGGGGACTAGAGACCAGGTTTCAGGACTCTCAGGACAGTGTTGGGCTGGATTATGGTCCCTGGACATAGGAGTCCTAAAGGAAGGTTTCCTAAGGTTCCAGAATTTGAACTGCTTGGAGGCAAATCCCGAATATATGTTTGGCTGACTCCCCTGCTGATGAAAAACTATTAAACACCGAGGAAGCTCTTCCTTTCTCCCCTGCCCATTTCCTCCAAACTCAATCTCTCATCCTCCACATTCCTTTACTTACCTCTTGCTGTGCTTACCTTTCATTTATTAAAAAAATACATTTTATCACATCTACTTATTTGCCCATCAATTATAGACTATCTCAAAGGGGCTCTAAAGAATAGAGCCATATCTGCTTAGTTTTATAAGGATAATATAGAAAATGTCCTCACATGGAAGACAGTGTGGCAACCTCAAGGATCTAGAAATAGGAATATGATTTGGCCCAGCAAAATCCCATTACTGGGTATATACCCAAAGGATTATAAATCATTCTATTATAAAGACACATGCACGCATATATTCATTGTGGCACTGTTTACAATGGCATAGACTTGGAACCAACCCAAATGCCCATCAATGATAGACTGGATGAAGAAAATGTGGCACATATACACCATGGAATACTATGCGACCATAAAAAAGGATGAGTTCATGTCCTTTGTAGGGACATGGATGAATCTGGAAACCATCATTCCCAGCAAGCTAACACAGGAACAGAAAACCAAACACCGCATGTTCTCACTCATAAGTAGGTGTTGAACAGTGAGAATACATGGTTACAGGGAGGGGAATATCACACACTGAAGTCTGTTGGGGTGGGAGGCTAGGGGAGGGATAGCAGAGGTGGGGAGAATGGGGAGAGATAGCATTAGGAGAAATACCTACTGTAAATGACAGGGGGTTGGATGCAGCAAACCACCATGGCACGTATATACCTGTGTAAAAGGCCTGCACCTTCTGCACATGTACCCCAGAACTTAAAGTATAATTTAAAAAAAGAAAATGTCCTCACATTTTAAATATTATTTTAATTTTGAATTAATCCCATACTTATAGAAAAATTATAGGAATAGTATAAAGAACTCTTTTGTCCCCTAGTCTTTGAGAATAAGTTGCTACTCCAGTGTCCCCCACTCATACTTCATACACTTGTACTTCATACATTTTGTATTTCAGATATGTACTTTATTCATACAAATGTATTTCATACATTTTCTATTTCAGATATGTACTTTATTCATACAAATGTATTTCATACATTTTCTACAAATAAAAACACTCCTACATAACCACAGAACTGCCACAAAAATCAGGAAATTAACATTGATATATCTGATTCTGTTATCTTGTATATGGAAACATTCAGATTTCCCTCAATTGTCTAATACTGCCTTATAACAAAGCATTCAAAATAATTATGAGTTCCATTTACTTGTCATGTCTCTTTAGTTTCCTTCAGTGATCTGGATGTCCCTCAATTTGCATTGCTCATGCCTTTGGGATTTACCAGCTCTTACCCTTTGGTTATCCATCCTTTTATGTATTAGCCTAAATGATGACACTTCAAGAGTGCCTTTCATTATCTTGGGGTGTTATTAGAGAGCTCCACCTACACCAGTTCAAGAAGGTTCTCACTTCTCTTGGGTAAAAGCAAAGCCCTGATGGTAATAGGAGAAGGATCTTGCCACTTCCAGGTACCTGCTAGTGATTCTTCCTTGCAATCTGTTTCTGTTGTTCCTGTTGTACTGTAAGAAAGAAGGACTCCTCTTAAGGGAAGCAGCTTGTGAAGTGAGTTTCCAGTAGCTCAGAATACAATGCCTTGTCCCAAATATTTCCCTGCACCCCCATCACACTTTGTAAATCCCACCACTAAAGGGTACATTCATACAGCTGAAGAAATCACTTCTCAAAGCGGCTATTAGCTTCTTAGCATAAAGTTCAGGGCCTGCAAAGCTGAGCACAGTGAAAAGACTGAAGCCCCATAAGACACTCTAAGTGCTGGCTGGGATTCTTTACCAACTTTCTGGGTGGTACTGGGTGAGTGACTTTCACTTTTCAGAGCCTCAGTTACTTCATCTGCCACATAGAATAAATGATTTCTAAGGATTCCTTTAGCTCTAAATGTTCAGATTCAGTTGTAAGTGAGAGCTCAGAAAGACATCTGCTTATAGGTGATCAATAATCATTTGTTGAAAAAATGGTAAAAATGACTCAAAAGCCAGAAGAAAATCCTTTGTAAGTCATGCATTTCACTCTTTTTAAAAATAATATCTGAGTAATAAAATTATTTTTAAGAGCTTTCAGGCCAGGCGCGGTGGCTCACGCCTGTAATCCCAGCACTTTGGGAGGCCAAGGTGGGTGGATCACGAGGTCAAGAGATCGAGACCATCCTGGTCAACATGGTGAAACCCCGTCTCTACTAAAAATACAAAAAATTAGCTGGGCATGGTGGCGCGTGCCTGTAATCCCAGCTACTCGGGAGGCTGAGGCAGGAGAATTGCCTGAACCCAGGAGGCGGAGGTTGCAGTGAGCCGAGATTGCACCATTGCACTCCAGCCTGGGTAACAAGAGCGAAACTCCGCCTAAAAAAAAAAAAAAAAAAGCTTTCAATCATGAGTAGTTCTTGCTCAGGGAAAGAAGGGGAGAATAGAAGAAGACTTTTTAAAGAGTCTATTAAGTACCAGGAATGTTTTGTTTTTATTTCATCTTTGTGGAATTGCCTCTTATTTTTATATATTTTTTAAATTGATAAAAAATTCTATATTACGAAAGTTCTTCTTTCAAATGTATAGCTCTATGTGTTTTGACAAACTCCTTCAGTCACCTAACCCACACCTCAATTGAGACACAAACAATTCCATCACACACCAAAATTCCCTCATATCCTTTTGTAACTAAATCCTCCCTCTACCCCTTGGTGATGACTAACTTGTTTTTGTTCCTTCAGTTTTGCCTTTGCCAGGATGTCATATGAATGGAATCCTTCAGAATATAGCTTTTAAGAATTGGTGCCTTTCAGTAACATAGCGTCTTTGAGATTCATCTAAACTGTTGTGTGTATTATAATTTGTTGTTTTAATTGCTGATAGTGTTTCACTGTATGGATGTGCTTCAGTTGGTTTATCCATTCACAGCTGACTAGTATTTGGGTTGTTCCCAATTTTTGAAGATTGTGAATAAAGTTGCTGTATGTATTCATATGTAGGTTTTTGTGTGGACATATATTTTCATTTCACTTGGATAAATACCTATGAGTAGAATTTCTGGGTTGTATGGCAAGTGTATATTTAACCTGATAAGACACTGCTTATTGCTTCTCAGCCTTTTGGCTAAGATCAAGTGTGAAGAAACTGCTCCTGTTTTCCAAAGTGGCTGTTCCATTTTGCATTTCCACTAGCTGTGTATGACAGTTCTACTAGCTCCATATCCTGGCCAGAACTTGGTATTAAAACAAACAAACAAACAATGGCTGGGTGCAGTAGCTCCCACTTGTAATCCCAGCACTTTGGGAGGCCAGGGCGGGTAGATCACGAGGTCAGGAGATCAAGACCATCCTGGCTAACATGGTAAAACCCTGTCTCTACTAAAAATAAAAAAATTTGCCAGGCATGGTAGCATGCGCCTGTAGTCTCAGCTACTTGGGAGGCTGAGGCAGGAGAACTGCTTGAACCCCGGAGGCAGAGGCTGCAGTGAGCCGAGATTGCACCACTGTACTCCAGCCTGGGCCACAGAGCAACACACACACACACACACACACACAAACACACAAAGACAAATTTATGGCAAGCACTTGATATCTATTTTATGTGTCATATACACAATCATATGAGGTATGCAACATAAGTCCTGTTTTACAGTTGAGGAAACTGAGGGACAGATGTTAAGTATGCTAATGGCACTACATGGGGGGTTAGAGGGTGGTCTAGTCACTCAGCTCTCCAGGCCAGTCACTGTCTTCCTTGATAAATGAAGATATTAACTTCTGGAACAATCTCTAAGCTGATTTTTAATATCTATGATTTCTCAACAACCTGGAGACATTGCTAATGGTTTAATGGATACACAGAAGGTCATTATCATCTAATATTCATTACCCAAGCCCCCAAATTTACAAGGATTTTTAGGGCATCAGAACTTAAAAATATTTACTGATAAATGTTTGTGTATAAAATTAGTCCACCCTCTTTGCTGAATGCTAGTTTCTATCTCTGCCCATCACACTAAGAGTTCTGTTACTGGTGAGCTGTGACAAGGTAAACACAAAGTGAAAATGCAAAGTAAACTGACTTCATTAAAATGGCATTGCAAAACTTGTAGATGAGGGTTTCACATAGTGCATGCTGTGATTTGAATGTGTCCCCCAATGTTCATGTGTTGGAAACTTAATCCCCATTGCAGCAGTGTTAAGAGGCAGGAACTTTAAGAAGCAATTTGGTCTTGAGGGCTCTGCCTTATGCACGGATTAATGCTATTACTATTAATATATGGGTTAGTTATTGGAGGAATGGGTTCCTGATAAAAGGATGATTTTGCCCCTGCCTCCTTCTCTCTTGCTCTTCTGCCTTCTGCCATGGGATGATGCAGCAAGATGGCCCTTACCACGATGTCACCAGATGATGACAACTTAATATTTGACTTCCCAGCCTCCAGAACTGTGAGTAACAAATATCTTTTCTTTATAAATTACTCAGACTGTAATATTCTGTTATAGCAACACAAAATGGACTAAGTAATGAAAATCATGTTGGAAACTTGTGCTGTCATTGATAAGAAAGGGCCTGAGCATTAGGTCAAGTAACTACTAAAAAACTGAAAAATCAGTAACAGTGACAACAGACTCTTCAAGTAGCATGATTTAAATTTTAGGAAATTGGAAGAAGACTTTGAGAAAATCAACAAAGTCCTCTAATATGTTCCGCAAAATGATCTTCTCTGGTTTTACTATGCTTGTTCCTCCATATCTCCCTGATCCCTAGACTTCTTCTGTCCTCTATTCACATTCTCTCCTAAGGTGGGTCATCTAGTTTCATGGCTTTAAATCCTCCCTTAAACTTTCACACTCGTCACTTCCCTCCTAAACTCCAGACTCATGTATTCAACTAACTACTTGACACTTCTCTGTGGCTGTCTAGTAGGTAATGATCTTACAACTATTGTGCCCCGTCAGATTCCTATTCTTCCCTCTAAAATATCTTAACACCACTCAGTCTTCCCCATTTCTGTTCATGTCACTTCCTATTCAGGTCAAAACCCTCTGAGTTATTTTTGATGCCTCTCTTTCTCTCACATTCTAGTAGTCTAGTTTCTTTCATAATCAGATCAATTAGTAGGACCTGTAACCAGGATCCCAACACTTCTCACCATTTCTACTACTACTCCGTTCCCCACCTGATTGATTCAGTCACCTCTCAATAAGTTTCCTGCTTCTACCCTCACTGCCCTACGGTCTATCGTCAGCTCAGCAGCCATCATGTCATCTTCTCGGAGAGACATATTCTGACCACCCTCTTTAAACTGTAATCTTTACCAATATTCTGTACTACTTATTCACCGTCTCTGCTTTTGTATTTTCTTCTTAGTACTTGCTACTTTCCAGCATGTTCTGCTTTTCCCTGATATTTTATGATTCATCAGTCACGCATTACAATATAAGGTCCACAAGAACAGGAAATATTTTCTTTTTCTTTTTTGAATTGATCCAACTGCCTAGAACAGTGCTTGGTGCATAGTAAGTACTCAATAAATATTTGTTGGATGAATGAGTACATATTTTGAAAGTCAAACAGGAAGGAATATGGTGATATCATACAATTTTATTAAAATATATATGCATCCTCTAGTATTCTAAGAATTAGCACATAGTAAAATTATAACCTAATTTTATAAACTCTGAGATCACTTCTATGGTTTTTACTTGCTGTTTTTCAAGATAAAACCTCAAATAAGTATGGTTTTCAGTATTTCTTATGATATTTTCATCCTTATTGCAAATGAATTGGCTTTATGGGGCCTGCACAATCATCTTTAGATAAAAATGACCTCTTATATTTCTGGGTGATTAGAAAAACGCCTTATTTTCTAAAAAGGAATTCTATGTAGAAGGGACAGTGTTTCTGCCTGTCTTTTTTCACACTTTGCACACCCAGGCCATCTGGAGTGAAACTGAAGTCTGCCCAGAGCAGCTGGAAGCCCCAGCTGCCCACAGAGGCCTCTGAGAAAGCCGACTCCAGAGGCCCTCAGCTCCTTGGAGGAGTAAGCACCAAGACAGTGTTGTTCAGCAGATGCCACCGTCTGCCATGTAAGTTAAATAAGGCAGACAGCAGCGGCTGAGATTTTAGCCTCCTGTTCTAAACAATGTTTTAGCTTAACAGCGGAAATTGTTGAACATGTTCCCCCTCCTCCTAGAAAAACAAGCAATTTATCTTCAGGAAGGAGAAAAATCCCTTTCCACCAGTTCTGATGGGTCATCAAGTTTAAAAGCTCTCTTACCCTAACCCGTTAGAGAAAATAACAGAAAGTATTTTTCCCTTTCTCTGGAGCTTATTTACTTTGCAAATTGTTTGTCTGCCCAGAAGTGCTACAATAATGGCTACATATATATTTTTTTTTCTAGATTCATTAATGATGTGAGAAGTGTAAAACTCAAAGCAGAAGACTTTTGTTTGTTTTCAGGATTGCTTCCCCGTTAGGCTTGGAGACCCCTGAAGGCAGAGGACCTGTTTGAGTTATCTTTGGACTCTTCACAGTCATGGCACAAAATGGCACCGAAGTCATTCATTTAGCAAAAATTTTTAAACAATATTCCTGTCATGACACATTCAACAAATTTTTTTTATTTATTTATATTATTTTTAGAGACTGGGGCTTGCTCTGTCACCCTGGAGTGCAGTGGTACGATCATAGCTCTTTGCAATCTTGTACTCCCAGGCTTAAGCGATCCTCCCACCTCAGCCTGAAGGATAGCTGGGACTATAGGAATGTACCACCACAACCCAGCTAATTTTTAAAAAAATATTTTTGTAGAGATGGTGTCTTGCTATGTTTCCTAGGCTGGTCTCAAACTCCTAGCCTCAAGCATTCCTCTCATGTTGGTCCCCCAAAACACTAGGATTGTAGGTATGGGGCAGCATTCCTGGCTATAAGCAAATTTTTAATGAGCACTTAGTATGTGCCACATGCTGCAGATGTAGCCACAAGCCTCCAGCCTCACAGAACTCATATTAAACAAGTAAACAAATAAGGTAATTTTAGATTTTTTTCAGTGCTACAAAATAAAAACAGGGAAATAGGAGAGAGAGTAGAGAACAGGACTGTTGAGAAGAAAATCTGGAATCCCCAACAAGGTGGGTGGCAGAAAAGATATTTCTTAGGGATTTGGCACAAAACCCCACTTTTTGTTTTACCACCAGGCCCTGGAATTTGAATCACCATCTTCTGGACTGACTCAAATGCAGAGGAAGCCAGACCTGCCACTAACATTTGTAAGAGCCGCAAGAGCATAAATGGAGATCCACATGTGTATAAATAATTAGAGTGTGAATAAAGCTAACAAACTGTGTAATAAAATATGATCTACTCTTTAGCTTGACAAATCAACTTTTCAAACACTTGGAAGAACAAGTTTGCACTCAGGATTCTCAGACTCCTCCAAGTTCTGCACTGGCATGTGGAAGAGCTGTGCAAGCCAGCCCTTGGGTCCCTGATCCCCGCCTCCTGGCTTGTACCTATCTATTCTCAGCCTGGCTCCAGCTCCCATTGAGAGGAAGTTCTTGTACACACATGATACTATAGCCCCTATGTCTAATATTTATCTATACCTTCTGCAGACAGCCACTGTGTGACCACCCTTGGGCTTAGGGGTCCGCAAACTGACAACAGACAAAGGGAACCAAGGCAGAGGCTCACAGACTCTAGAAATGGGCATAGGTCCATGTGGGCAGAGACCTGTGGAATCCCGGGTAAGCAGGGTGTCTTAGTTTGCTTGTGCTGCTTAAATAAAATACTATACACTAGGTAATTTATAAATATTAGAAATATATTTCTCAGAATTCTGAAGGTTGGGAAGTCCAAGGTCAAGGTGGTGGTAAGTTTGGTGGGAGCTGCTTTCTCTGCTTCCAAGATGGTACTTTTTGCTGTATCTTCTTGAGGGGAAGAAAGCAGGACAAAAGGGGGCAATTATCTCTCTGAGGCCTCTTTTGTAAAGCTGTTAATCCATTCTGAGGGCTCTGCCCTCATAACTTAATCACTTTCCCAAAGTCACATCTCTTAATACTACCACAATGAGGATGAAGTTTCAATATGAATTTTGAAGGGGTCACATTCAAGCCATAGCGCAGGGCATGGCCTTGTAGAGGAAATGCAAGCTCTGGGTATGCAAGTCCCCTTTGCCCCATAAACTTCTTCCTTCATGGGAAGGGAAGGGACGTAGCTGGAGGATACCCCTCTACAGCACAGGTCCCAGAGCACCCTTCTTGCCTTGAGTTTAGGGATAGTATAGGTGGTGGTGGTAAGGCTACTTTTGCTCATTAACAAAAGCGTCTTTGATGGGGTGGGGCTGAGAATGACATTTGAATGGAAACTTGAATGATAAAGATGAGTCATCCATGCCAAGACCTGGGAGAAGGGCATTCCTAACTGAGAGAAGAGGAAATGCCCAGAGCTCATAAGCATTGTAGGGAAGAAACATCAATGGGAGTGGGTGGAGCCTAATTAAGAGAAGAATGGTAAGAGATGAGCTGAGATGGTCAGGCAGGAGCAGGGACCCTGAAGGTCAGGTAAGGGGGCTTGATTTTACCATGGGTGCAATGGGAAGCTTCTGAAGAATTGATATGATTTGAGTTCTGTTACAGCACAATCACTCTGGGTGCTGTGTGAAATGGATGAATAGCAAGGAGCTGCTGGCAAGGGCAAATCAACAGAAGCACCACTCAAAATCCCTCAGTACCCATTACATAAGGATTCTTGTGATTAATTATTCCCCAAATTTTAGAGCCAAGAAAAATCCAGCTCTCCTACTAAGAGTTGTAGATTAGAATTTCTGTTTCTAATCTACAAACAAATGCATGCAAATGCCTTTTCATGACAATTCCAACTTTATCATAAGGTCGACTACTGAGAAACCAGTAGGCAGGTTTCTCCTGTTGTCTAGACCACCTGAAAGCGCATAGCTGAGTTTGCACTTATTTGCAGTGGAAACTGCTCATTTTTCAGTCTGGCATCCAATCACAACTTTGTAGCTAACTACCTATATGTTTTCATAAACTTCTCTCACACAGTATAAATTTTAAATAAATAACAATAGCTATTACACATATAAGTAGTAATAACTCAAGAGACTGGTATCTGACTAGTGGTTATTTCACCAGTGTGTACTCCGGAGGTTTTGTTTTTTGATGTATGTACATTATAACTGCAGGGCAGGTCATAAGAAGATTTTAAATTCACATTAGCTTTGCTACCACTAAACTATGGGGACTGAGTGTTTCTAATTTACAAACAAATGTATGCAATGTCTTTATGATCATCCTGACTTTATCATAGGGTGGTTATAAAATATTTTAAGACATACAAAAAGGCATAAAGTATAATACAATGAATACCCATATATCTAACTCCCAGTTTAAGAAATAAAACATTAGCAAATACAGCTGAAGTTCCATGAATTCCCCTCCCAAATCATAATCCCTTCCCACCTGCAGAGGGAACCTCTATTCTGAGCCTGGTGTGTATCACCACCAAGAATTTAAAAAATACTTTTACTACACATACACAAGTATGTATCCCTTAAAAATGAGTAGTAGTACTGTTTTGTAGTATAAGAAGTAGTACTTATACCATTTACACTTTAAGTAAATGGTGTAAGTTTTTTCTTGGTTTTGCTAAAAATTGTTGATGTTTATGTCCTTTGATTCTATAGCTGATTGACTTTCACTGTGAGTCATTCCATCATTATTTCTGTATTCATTCTCCTGCTGAAGTTCATTTCCAGTTGTTTCTATTCCTCTCTTCATCCCCCTCCCCCAACACACATGCTTTTATTAATAAATCCACTGGAACTTTCTTGCATGCATCTCCTTGGATGTGTTATATCATAAAATAAACAGAGAGAAAATTGAGCTTTTCAGACACAGGTTCTACATTAAATCATTATTTTCAGATCGACTTACCATTGCTCATATTCAATCCTTTAGAATGGGTTCAAGATGGATATTTAATAGTAATGGAGCATAATCCAGAGAGGGATAGAGTGATTTTTAAAATCAAAACTACAGAATTAAAAAAAAAATCCCTGTAGGGTAACAAGGAGCTCACCTAATTGAACACCGTCATTTTATGGACAAGAAAACCAATGCTCAGAGGGAGAAAGTTGCCTAGTAGTGAGCGCTGGGCTACCAGGAGCAGCAGATCCTTCATTGAGCCTCCACTGTGATGGACATGTGTACAAATCATACAAATAAACCCCTTGCTTTCCCTTCTACTCTCTAAGCCTCACTAAACAATGTGTCATAAAACATGGCCCACTTGATGAAGTCCTTCCTGGATGAATTACAATTGTGCTTCTTTGATCAATTCAAGCCACATTTTTTTTTTTTCATTTCTGAAGAGTCAATTTCACCTCAGCTTTACTGAAGTAGAAGTAAAGATCAGAAGATAAAACAATTTCTTTATCATGCATAACTAGAATAACTAGATTTACAAAAGAAAAGTCTTTAAAAATCACATAGAAAAAAATATAAGGTTGGAAGAATTTCTCAAAGCAAGGATGAGTACCCATGACTGGGAAACTATTCCGTTTCTTTGATTAAGACTAAATTTTAAAATCTGCATTTCATTTGGTGAGATTCAACAAGGACTTTTCCCTTGACCAAACTTTAAGCATGTTCCTCTGAGGCCTCTTCTTGACTAGGCCTGGTCCTGGCCTGCCGAGCCTGGCTCAGCAAGAATCCCCCGCCCTTGATACCCAACCAAATCCTCTTAGTAATTTCCCATCCATGACCCCTTCACCATGCCCATTGGTTATAAATCCCCAGCTGTCCCTACTGTATCCAGAGTCAAGATTAATCTGTCCCCTGCTGCAGTAGTCTTGAATAATGCCTTCTTTGCCTGTTTAATTATGTTTCATGCTTTTTTTCTTCAACAGATTCACCTCCCAATACCAAACTGTCACTGAGTCCTATATCCCAAACTGCCTGTGATTAGGATGGCCGTGTGTATCTGTTTACTGAGACAGTCCCAATGCATGCCTGACACAGAAGCACAATTACCAATGGCTGCCCAATCTACTCTCAGAAGTGCCTTGGTTTGCACAATAAATTGTCTTCACACATATGAGGTGTGAAATTTACTGGCTCAAGACACTAATTAAGAAGAGGACTTGAAAAATGGTGCTACAGCAATATACACAGAACAAAAGAGCAAATTCATGAAACTAAAACACTCCCTTTTTCATAGTGTCTCCAGAGGCATAGTTAACATTTGATTCATATCACATTCTATCCAAATTAAGTCTTTCACCATAAATAAAAATGGGTGATTTTCACAAATTTCTCATTCAAATATATTCATACAATGCCTTTATTATGCCTCTTTTTTGGGAACTACAGATGGGTTTATTATAGAACATTGACCAGAAATGTGGCATGCATTCCAGAAAGAGAAGAGGGGGGAATGCGACAGAGAGGAGACAGAAAGAGACCAGGAAGGCCAATGTGGTATAGGCTTCAGGAAAACAGCTGAGATTGGGAATCGATACCTCATTCTCCAGAAATTGCATTAAAGGCATTAAAGGGCTGAAATGAATTTGCAAAACAATAACTGAGGCTGACGGCTGCTCTTGACAGAAGGGATGAATCAAGACTAAGCTGTGCTTTAGCACCTACTCTGGGGAGAAAGAACAACAGGGGAACTACTAAAGCTTCTCACCTAGAAATGCTGAGTTTTTAAATTGCTTTCTGATGCGAAAAGAGAAAATTCCTCATTAAGGTGGGGTTTGCTAAGTGATTTTGAGCAGTGGTTTGTTTGTTTGTTGTCACTATTTTCAGGTATTTGAAAACATTTGCAAGAGGCCCTTATTCTGCAGAGCTTTCTTAGGTCTGATGGAATGAAATGAGACTAACAACTGCACACTCAGTGAATGGGATCTCAGGCATGGGCTTTCAGACATAAGATGTGATGCAGGGAAGAGGGGAACAAGTGAGATGAGATCATCTCCAAAGTTTCCTCTAAGTGAAAAGTCTAAGATTCTGCCATTCAGTGGACTCTCTACATGGGTTTGCTAATCCCATTTTGCAGAAGGAAAGAGTCAAACAAGGAGAGGTCAAGGACACTGAAGGGGACCAGGGGCCTCTTCATCAGTGCCCAGTATGTGACCCACAGGGTCAGACTGACAATTTAGAAAAGAGGAGCCAAGTCCATCACAAGGATGGTCTACTGAAACCTCATCACATGGAAGTGTGATGCCACCAGCAGCATTGCATCACATGTGAGCTGGTGACACATGCAGAATCTCTCAGTCCACCCCAGACCTACTAAATCACAATCTGCATTTAACCAGACCCCAAGAGTTCAAGAAACACAGGCTCAGATTTTTCATTTCTCTGCTGATTAGTGCTGTTGAACAGTGATTACCCTAAAAGTAGCAAGACTCTAGATACAACTGTGAACTAGCTTTGTAAAAAATATAATTTCAACTTCTATTTTAGATTCGGGGGATACATGTACAGGTTTGTTACAAGGGGATTTTGTATATGTTTGGGATATGAATGACCCCATCAACCAGATGTTTACTCTGTTGATAGTTTCTTTTGCTGCGCAGAAGCTTTTTCATTTAATTAGGTTCCACTTGTCAATTTTTGCTTATGTGACAATTGCTTTTGAGTACTTATTCATATATAAGTTCCCAAGGCTGATATCCAGAACGGTGTTTCCTAGGTTTTCTTCTAGAATTCTTTTTTTTTTT